GGAAACCTGGCACCATCCCTACGGTGAAGCATGGTGGTGGCAGCATCATGCTGTGGGGATGTTCTTCAGCGGCAGGGAGACTAGTCAGGATCGAGGCAAAGATGAACGGAGCAAAGTACAGAGAGATCCTTGATGAATACCTGCTCCAGAGCGCTCAGGGCCTCAGCCTGGGGTAAAGGTTCACCTTCCAACAGGACAACGACCCTAAGCACACAGCCAAGACAACACAGGAGTGGCTTCAGGACAAGTCTCTGAATGTCCTTGAGTGGCCCAGCTAGAGCCCGGACTTGAACCCAATCGAACATCTCTGGAGAGACTCCCCATCCGTCCTGACAGAGTTTGAGAAAAATAGGAGAAACTCCCCAAATACAGGTGTGCCCAGCTTATAGCGTCTTACCCAAGAAGACTCAAGACTGTGATCGCTGCCAAAGGTGCTTCAACAAAGTACTGAGTAAAGGGTCTGAATACTTATGTAAATGTTATATTTCAGTTTTTGATTTTTAATAAATGTGCAAACATTTCTAAATACCTGCTTTTGCTTTTGTTTGTAGATTAATGAGGGGGGAATAAAATAATTTAATCAATTTTAGAGAAAGGCTGTAATGTAAACAATGTGGAAAAAGTGAAGGGGTTCAAATACTTTCCGAATGCACTCTATTGTCTCACATTCCTAGCGCCAAAAAGACCAACTGCATGGAGAGCCAGTAAAGTACGTAAAAATTATATTTTAACGTACTTTACTGGTTGTCCGTGCGGTTGGTCCTTTTGGCAGTAGGAATGTGAGACAATATATCCACAAGAAAGTATAATTACATTGTTGTTTCTCTCTATCACGCACATGCACACACACAACCATAACCTTAACTCCTCTCACCACACCACATACCACAATCTCAAGTTTTGATCGAAGAAGGTACAAGTTGCCCCCACTGGCGTGTGTTCATGGATGCCAAGGGAAGCCAGGCTTCTCCCAAAAATGTAGGAACAAGAAAATAATTGAAAATAATTGATCTTTCATCTCTGTGTTTCATAATTTTCCTTCAATTTGCAAGAGGCTGAATGCAACTCACTGGAGAAAGCATCCGAGTGAGCGAAACACCGCCCCTCTGTCTGTGTAGCCCATCTATCTGGTCTGGTCAAAAAGAGTATGATAGTGTTGCCCCCCTTGGCATTTAAGCCAGCGAGCATTTGGCCTCCCTTGATATTTTTTGTTGTTGACAATAATAGCTAATCATCGTTGAGCTAAACTGAGTGAGCTCAACTGTGAATGGCTCTGGCGCACCAAAAAAAGTATCAGGGGAAGCCCGTTTGGATTTGGCTTCACACCAATCACATCACAAGCCAAACGTCATTGACAGAAAAAAACTTGAATTGTTGCATCTCGTTGTGTTGTTGTCCTCCGGTGGCTAGCTAGTTTGTTGAAATTGTCCCTTTCCTAAATTAGCCATGGATGGAGGTAGGGATTTGGACTTGTGGTTTTACTTAATTCTCCGTACTGGCCAATGATTATAACGGCGATTCTGATCCAACAATAAATTCAATATGTAGCTAGAAGTAGTAGGCTATTGTTAACTAGCTGGCTAATCATTGCCCATGGAAGGAAGTTAGGCTAGTGAACAAGATTTAATTTTGTACCCCTTTTTCACCCCAATTGGTAGTTACAGTCTTGTCCCATCGCTGCAACTCCTGTACGGACTCGGGAGAGGCGTCCTCCGAAACATGACCCTGCCGCACTGCTTGCTTAAGCCGGAAGCCAGCCGCACCAATGTGTCAGAGGAAATACCGTACAACTGGTGACCGAAGTCAGCGTGCACGCACCCGACCTGACACAAGGAGTCACTAGAGCGCGTTGGTACAAGGACATCCACGCCGGCAAAACCCTCCCCTAACCCGGACGACGCTGGGCCAATTGTGCGCCGCCTCATGGGTCTCCCGGTCACGGCCGGCTGTGACACAGCCTGGAATCGAACCCAGGTCTGTAGTGATGCCTCAAGCACTGTGATGCAGTGCCTTAGACCACTGTGCCACTCAGGAGGCCCATGAGCAAGAATTTGAGCCAGGTAGCCTAGGACAACAAAAACTAAAATTGTGTAGTATGACAGACTCATAGACTGTTTCGGCAACGTGAAAGAGAGTAGGATGGCATTGGCGTTTCTCTACAAGTAGGGTGAGTCAACATGTTTTTTCTACTTGCACACAGACACACACACACATAAATCAGTACCATGGACAGCCACATCATGTTTAGCTTATGTTGATTGGACGAAATTGTTTTTGGAATCTTTTAGTTGTCACTGTGATTTGATGTTGAAGTTGAAATGGTGCTGAAATAGTGGAGGCAGCTCCTGTTTACTTTGTGACTTGCGGTAAACCTCTGGTGTTCTAAATCAATACTTGTTTTGTAGTCCGAAAATGTCAGAAACGTTAACTTGATTGACCAAGCTGTAGGTCATGTAACTGTTTGTTACATGCAATATGCTTTGTGGACTCCACCGGACAGATGTTGCTCTTCGGTTTTGGGATGAAACAAAGGTGTGGTTGAATTTATTCTGCCACTGTGTCTCGGCATTCAAGACAACTGGTAACTTTGAAAAAATTGAGGTCAAATCGTGACATCAGTGATCTTTAGGTTGGAAAGTCGGAGCTCTAGAAAGATGCTTGAGTTTCCGACTTGGAATTCTGAGTTGGATGACCGTTCAAAAATATTTTTCCCAGTCGGAGCTAGATTTTCCAGTTATCTTGAATGCACTGAAGTCTGAGATTTTAGAGTTCCCAGTTGTTTTGAACGCGGCATATATATCACGGTGTCAAGGCATATGAATATATGAAGCAAACAACACAGTTCTCACAACACATAGGTTGTAATATGGCTTTTTTCCCCTGGATTTGTTTCCTCAGGGATTTTACCCACACACCGCTACTGGTTGCCCCTAAGTAAGGTCATAGTTTTCATCCACCGAACACTTGAGTTTATTGGTGCTAGGATAATTGAATCCTAGATCTGTGCGGTTCAGCCAGGACAACTCCTACCTTGAGCTCTCTGATCTGCACCCAGATCATTCTGTGAGTTACTCCCCCACACGTCTCAATTCACTCCTTACTTACATCTCCACTTTGCTCTTCATTTTAACACTGCAGACTTCTTCTGAAACTGATCCCAGAATAGAGATGCCTTACAGACAGAATACCTAATGATTTTTATTTTACCACTGGCACCGGCTGAATGTCTTTCTGTCTTTCTTTTTATTGCATGCTGACACCCACCTCCTTTTTTTGCATTCCACCCAGGTGTTATTGGTGCTTTTGTCTAGATGTGCTCCCTTACAGAGTGATGGTGCATTTCTCCTATAGTTCTCTGTTTACTCACAATGTCAGTGACTCCAAAGCCAGGAACTACTCTTTCACTGAAATGTTTTTATTTTTATTTTTTTTATCTTAGTAAAGGACGCCACCCCGTAAGCCCCGGGTTTCCACGCCGATGATGATCTCTGCGAGAGAGAGAGAGAGAGAGAGAGAGAGAGAGAGAGTGGGAGAACCATATAAATAAAAAATAGTGGTCTGGGCGCTTTTTACATTCTAGTAAGTATATTTCTACGAGGAGAACACTATCTTGTCAGAACCTTATGGGGAAAATCTTTGTCTGGACATTATGGTGCATTTCTTTTCACATTTTGTGATTGTATTCTCATGTGCATTGGGGTTGTCTGTCGTTATGAGTGAATCTCATAGTGGTTTGACAGATTCAGTTCCTCATCATAATTCCCAATGGTTCAATCTGTGTGTTGATGTCACTCATCATGTCAATTATTTTACCATTTGCATAAAACATGTCAGACCTAAATGAAATTACATACCAATGAATGAGGTCGTCTTTTCCACTTTTCAGCAATCCAGACAGTTCCACTCTGGAGTAGACAACTGAGAGTTTCGGTTGGTAGTTACACATTTGTTCTCTTGAAATAATGAATTGAATCAATAAAGTACAAGCAAAGGTAAATAAGTCACATTTACTGTAAAGTTTACAGTGTAATAAAATGCTCCTTTGGAATAGTTAATTTATTATAACTCCAAACAAAAATAATCTCTCCAAAAAATATTCAAATAATGTCTTATAATATTGATACTTTCTCTCTTTTACTCTCTATTTTTAGACTGTTGGTATGTTAGATTCTGTTTTATTCCTGAATACTGTGTGAAGATAAAATCTCTCTAAACAGTGGCAACACACTCATTCCTATAACGACCATAATGGTGACTAAAATCGTAATATTGATAACCTTCTGGATATTGTAATAATGAAATGTATAATCTCAGCGTCTGTCGGTGGGCACATAAGATACATTGACAGAAGAAGGTGATGAAATAAAAAAAAACTGCAGCATAAAAAGGAAGAAGGTGATAACAAGTCTCAGGTTTTCGAGTCTTAGTCGTGAAACCTGGTTTATACTCAGCAGCGAAACACGACCTAGCCCGCCCCCCAGCCCTCCTCCCAAGTCTAGTCAAACACAATCCCTGTCTGTCTTTCCGCAGCAGTAAGTGCAGGGTCTCAAGAGAAGAGGGGTGCATTAACTCAATCAACAAAGACAAAGGAAACGTCCTTGTGTTACATCAGCCATTTCCTCCCTCCCTTCTTCTTCATAGTGAATGATTTAAAGTGTTCTCATTTGCTCGTTTAATAGTAATAATAATGCTTTTTGGTATGAGATTCCTCTAGTTCTCTCGTATAAAGGGAGATACAGTGGGTTGGTTGTCTTGATTTTCCTCAGTCTTCCTCTGTCTTCTCTGAAGTCTCTCTCTCTTTCTCTGTTCAGTTGCCCCCTCGTTTTACTCTCACAGCAGGGGGGGTTCCCCCGAGTCAGTAACAGTCTTGTGATGTGTGTGTGGGTTTGTGTGTGCTCATAGGGTCCTTGGCCAGCTAGCAGGCCTTTCCCACTCTTCCTTCTCTGGGATTGCCCAGACACACAACAGTTCCTTCTGTGTTTGAGGGTGCAGCAGGTGACTCAGTGTGCAGTTAATGTGGCCAGAAGGTGGGGTAGCAGGACGCAGAGCAGGACGAGGGGGGCCAGGAGGTGGAGTTGGGGGGTGGATGCGGTGTTGCATGCCTTGCCCCCCTCGCAGCGGGACTGTTGGCACAGCACGCCCTTAAACTCTGGAGGACAGATACACTTCTGGTTCTGGGAGCACGTCCCACCATTCTGGCACAGGAGCAGCTCCTCGTCACACACATTAGCTGTAGGAGAGAGAGGGATGGAGGAGGGAGAGAGGCAGAGAGAGGGGTGAAGGAAGTGGTAGAGAGAGAAGGTGTGGATGGAGGTAGAGAGGGAGGAAGAAGAAAAAAGCGAGAGAGGGATGGTACATGCAGAGAAAGGGGGTGGAGGAGGGAGAAAGGAAGAAAGGAGAGATGTAGTGGCAAAACGACGGTTTCATGAAAGATAAAAGGAGGATGGGAGCAAAGAGAAGGAGAGTAGTAGGATAGAAGGTGAGAGCGATGAGGGGGAAGATGAGAAGAGAGGAGGTTTTGCCACAGAAACAACAAGATGGGGAAGCGGGATGTAGTGAGAAGGGAGCAATTCAAAGTAAAGATAAAGAGAGAGAGGGGGGAGGAAAGAAAAAAAGAGAAGAAAATATGAATTCTCCAAGCCTAGCCTCGGGCTCGGCCACAAGTAACACCTGCCTTCTTTTCTGTTTTTCTCGAGCATGCATTTTCTCTGGGTCAGTTGAATGTCTCTTTAATTCATGAATTAATTTGTTTTTATGTCTCTATTTTTAATTCCCACTTGCTTCAACATGTCACCATTCTCCCTCTACCCAAGAAAGTGAAGGTAACTGAATTAAATGACTTTCGCCCCCTGGCACTCACTTCTGTCATCATGAAGTGCCTTAAGAGGCTAGTTAACGATCATATCACCTCCACCTTACCCGACAACCTAGACCCACTACAATTTGTATACCGCCCCAACAGATCCATCGACAATGCAATTGCCATTGCACTGCACACTGCCCTATCGCACCTGGAGAAGAGAAATACCTACAGTATGTAAGAATGCTATTCATCGACTACAGCTCAGCCTTCAACATCATAGTGCCCTCCAAGCTCATCACTAAGCTCAGGGCCCTGGGTCTGAACCCCCGCCCTGTGCAACTGAGTCCTAAACTTCCTGACGGGCCGACCCCAGGTGTTGAAGGTAAGCAACAACACCTCCGCCATGCTGATCCTCAACATGGGGGCCCCACAAGGGAGCCCCGTCCTATACTCCCTGTTCACCCATGACCGCGTGGCTACGCACGTCTCCAACTCAATCATCAGGTTTGATGACAACACAACAGTGGTAGGCCTGATTACCAACATCGACGAGACGGCCTATAGGGAGGAGGTGAGAGCCCTGGCGGAGTGGTGCCATAAAAATAACCTTTCCCTCAACGTCAACACAACAAAGGAGCTGATCATGGACTACAGGAGACAGCAGAGAGTGCATGCCCCCATCTACATCGACGGGACCGCAATGGAGAGGGTCAAAAGCTTCAAGTTCCTCGGCATGCACATCACTGAGGACCTGAAATGGTCACTCTACACCAACACCGTGGTGAAGAAAGCGCAACAGCGCCTCTTCAACCTCAGGAGGCTGAAGAAATTTGGCTTGGCCCCTAAGACCCTCACAAACTTCTACAGATGCACCACCATCAAAATAATTATGTCAGGCTGTATCACCACCTGGTACGGCAACGCATCACTGGGGGCACACTGCCTGCCCTTCAGGACATCTACAGCACCCGATGTCACAGGAAGGCCAAGAAGATCATCAAGGAACTCAGCCACCCGATCCACTGCCTGTTCACCCTGCTACCATCTAAAAGGCGGAGACAGTACAGGTGCATCAAAGCTAGGAGCGAGAGACTGATTAACAGTCTGATGACCTGGAGATAAAAGCTGATCATCAGTCATCATTAACCGGCCTCCGCCCAGTAGCCTGCCCTGAACCTTAGTCACTGTTAAGGCAGCTACAAGCTCCACTCCGTCGATCGACATGCGCGGATGTGCAAGGGTGGAGTCCGTTTTTTGGGGCCAGCGCGCACTTTGGCCACATCGTTGTTGAGTTCCACCCAGAGAGGAAGTCCACCTTGTGTAGTGTATATCCACTAGAGGGATTGGGGTGCCAGAGTAGCTTACCAAGCAAGAGGGTCCAGGGCACTCTTTGACTGTAGCTAGCGACAAGATTTGAACTTCCGGATCTGGTGTTATATGCATTTTTGTTGACAAATACTAGCTAGCTAGTTACATGTCTGGCTAGTCATGTGTTCTACGCTTTACGATGCTACTTTTTAGCCGCAGAAGCAAGCATGTCTCTCTATGAATTGCAATTGCTAGATCTTGAACAGCAAGAGCTTGAACAGCTCTTGTAGAAGAAAAAAAAACGACTGAGAAAATGGCAAGTTCATCCACTAACCACTACAAGAGGGGACTATGGAGAATTCATGTCTCTTGTCCAAATTATGCGAAGCATTGATGTTTTTGGCGAATGGCAGCACACAAAGTATCGCTGCGAGTTAAGCTAGGAATCGCAACAGTTTGTGCCATCGTCACGGAAGTGTGCCAGGCTATCTGGCATGTCCTGAAGAAGGATTTTGATGCTTATCCCTCTGTGGCAAAATTGGCAGAACTCGCCAGAGAGTTTGGGGATCGTTGGAATTATCAGTTCTGATGGCAGTCTGCGACGTAAAGTCCCGCTTCACCATGATCGACATGGGCGCATTTGGTCGGGAGGGAGATACGGGAATCTTCTCACGAAGCAAGTTCAGCTCCCAAGTTATGGCAGGCCAGCTTTCGCTACCAAGGCCAGAGTGCTTGCCGAGGACCCAAACACCGAGGTCAGGAAACTAAGCGTATGTCGCGCATTTGAACGTAAACCTTTTTTGTTATCAGAATGCGTTTTTGGGGAGAAATGCCTTCTGGAACATGTGAACTTTCATGTGCCTTAATAACAAACTTATTTTACATTTTTACATTTTAGTCATTTAGCAGACGCTCTTATCCATAATTTTTTTATTTTTCATACTGGCCCCCCGTGGGAATCGAACCATGCTCTACCAACGCCATGCTCTACCAACTGAGCTACATCCCTGCCGGCCAGTCCCTCCCCTACCCTGGACGACGCTTGGCCAATTGTGCGCCGCCCCATGGGTCTCCTGGTCGCGGCCGGCTACGACAGAGCCTGGAGCAACTTGTATGCAATCTGTAAATACGAATAAAATTGTGAAATTACGAGCCTAGTTGGTTTACAGTGCATTCGGTATTCAGACCCCTTGACTTTTTCCACATTTTGTTACGTTACAGCCTTATTCTAAAATGTATTAAATTAATTATTTTCGTCATCACTCTACACACAATTCCCCACAATACAGAAATACCTTATTTACATAACTATTCAGACCCTTTGCTAGGAGACTGTCACGGTTTCGGCCGAGGCTGCTCCTCTTCCTTGTTCGGGCGGACTTCGGCGGTCGTCGTCTCCGGAGTACTAGCTGCCACCGTTCGATGTGTTTTGTTCTTTTGGTTTTGTCTGTGCATAACACCTGTCCCTTATTTGTGTCTTGATTATTCTCCTTATTTAGTTGGTTTGTTTGGGGCAGGTGTTATGCGTGATTGTTGTTGTCAGCCTGCCTCATCGAGTTTGTTCTCTCGTTGTGTTATTTCCGAGAGCTCGCACTGTGTGCGCTTTCCCTTATTTTCTCGCACTGTGTATTTTTCGTGCGTAATTGTTCGCGCCACCCGGTTGGGTTGGCGACGTATACTGTTGTTTGGACTAGTAAAGTTCTGTTGACGTCCTCCTGGTTTCCTGCGCCTGATTCCTATCATCCACCTACACCACTCTGACAGAATCACGCATCATCATGGAATCAGCAGGAGCGACCGCGCCGACCGCCGATCTGGACGAACGGCTTCGTGGTCAGGAGGACCGTATGAACCAGGTGTGTCACGCCCTGGATAGGGTGATGACCACCCTACACCGATGGGAGACCAGCGGGGTGCCCACACCTCCAACCACCGACCCAGCTCCAGCGGTCAGCCCTCCGGGTACATCTCCGGAACCCAGTGGGATTCGGCTCTCGCTCCCGAGGGCGTACGACGGCTCCACCGCCGGGTGTCAAGGGTTCCTGCTGCAGGTGGAGCTCTACCTCGCCACCGTCCACCCGGCGCCCTCGGGACACGAGAGCGTCTCAGCCCTCATCTCCTGTCTCACCGGCAAGGCGTTGGAGTGGGCCAACGCCGAGTGGAGGAGAATGGACGCCGCAACCACGAACTATGCGGAGTTCTCCCGCCGCTTCCGTGCTGTATTCGACCATCCACCAGAGGGGAAGGCGGCGGGGGAGCGTCTGTTCTACCTCCGACAGGGGATGAGGAGCGCACAGGACTTTGCCTTGGAGTTCCGGACCCTAGCGGCTGACGCAGGGTGGAATGAGCGGGCCCATATCGACCATTTCCGCTGCAGCCTCCGGGAGGACGTCCAGCGAGAGTTGGCGTGCAGGGACACGTCGTTGACGTTCGACCAGCTGGTCGACATGGCCATCCGGCTGGATACCCTGCTCGCCACCCGTGGGCGTCCCGGAGGGGGGGGTCTGCCCATTCCACTCTCCAGCACCTCTGAGCCTAGCCCTATGGAGCTCGGAGGTGCTGGCGCTAGGGAACGTAGGAGGAGGAGCCCGAGGGGGCCTGGCCCTTGCACCAACTGTGGTCGTGGAGGGCACACTGCGGCTAGGTGCTGGGGCGGGTCCTCCAGGGGAGGAGATGGCAGGTCTAGCATTGGGGGGTCCCCCCAGGTGAGTAGGCGCCCTGCTTACCCAGAGCTTTCTGTCGCGCACCTAACCTTGCCTGTTTGTTTCCCACAGGTTGCACCTCGTTCCCAGCATAAGGCGCTGGTAGATTCAGGCGCAGCTGGGAATTTTATAGATCGCCAGTTCTGTTTAGAGTTAGGGATTCCCCTCCTTCCTGTTGATAAGCCTTTCCCCGTCCATGCCCTAGATAGCCGTCCGTTAGGGTCTGGGTTGATTAGGGAGGTCACAGCACCACTTCAGATGATGGCGCAGGAGGGTCATGAGGAGAGTATTCAGCTTTATCTGATTGACTCTCCTGCGTATCCGGTGGTGCTGGGTCTTCCCTGGTTGATGACTCATGACCCTATTATTGGGTGGCGAGAGAAAGCTCTTAAAGGGTGGTCTGCTCAATGTGAGGGGCGGTGTCTGGGTGTTTCCATAGGGGCGACCTCGGTGGAGAGTCCGAATCTAATGCCAGCACTGCAGATTCCCCCCGAGTATGAGGATTTGGCACTGGCGTTCAGTAAGACTAGGGCTGCGCAGCTGCCGCCTCATAGACGGGGGGATTGTGCGATAGATCTCCAGTCAGGCGCAGCTCTCCCGCGGAGCCATGTGTATCCCTTGTCTCAAGAGGAGAAAAAATCGATGGAGACGTACATCTCTGAGTCTCTTAGACAGGGGTACATACGGCCCTCCGTTTCACCCGTTTCCTCAAGTTTCTTTTTTGTGAAGAAGAAGGATGGAGGTCTGCGGCCGTGTATTGATTACCGCGGTCTCAATCAGATCACAGTGAAGTACAGCTATCCACTTCCTCTGATTGCGACTATGACGGAGTCACTGCACGGCGCGCGGTTCTTTACAAAATTGGATCTTAGGAGCGCATATAACTTGGTGCGCATCCGTAAGGGCGATGAATGGAAGACAGCGTTTAGCACGACTTCAGGGCACTACGAGTATCTAGTCATGCCATATGGGTTGATGAATGCTCCCTCAGTCTTCCAATCCTTCGTTGATGAGATTTTCCGGGACATGCAGGGACAGGGAGTGGTTGTGTACATCGACGACATTCTGGTGTATAGTCCTACCCGTGCTGAGCATGTAGCCCTGGTGCGCCGAGTATTGCGGAGGCTGTTGGAGCATGACCTATATGTCAAGGCAGAGAAATGTCTGTTTTTTCAGAAGTCGGTCTCCTTTCTGGGTTACCAGTTATCTGCGTCAGGGGTGAAGATGGAGGTAGACCGGGTGTCAGCTGTGCGTAATTGGCAAACCCCAACCACTGTGAAGGAGGTGCAACGGTTCTTGGGTTTTGCGAATTACTACCGGAGGTTTATCCGGGGTTTTGGACAGGTGGCAGCTCCCATAACGTCTCTGTTAAAGGGGGGTCCGGTGCGCTTGCGGTGGTCAGCTGAGGCGGACAGGGCATTTGGGAGACTGAAGGGCCTGTTTACCTCGGCGCCGGTGTTGGCGCATCCGGATCCCTCTTTACCGTTCCAAGTAGAGGTGGACGCGTCAGAGGCCGGAATAGGGGCCGTTCTTTCCCAGCGTTCTGGTACTCCACCTAAACTCCGTCCCTGTGCGTTCTACTCTAAGAAGCTCAGTCCGGCGGAGCGGAATTATGACGTAGGGGACAGGGAGCTGTTAGCCGTGGTACAGGCCCTAAAGGTGTGGCGGCATTGGCTCGAGGGGGCTCAACACCCTTTCCTCATTCAAACTGACCATCGTAACCTGGAGTACATCCGGGCAGCTAGGAGACTGAATCCTCGCCAGGCTCGTTGGACTATGTTCCTGGCCCGGTTTGTGTTTAAGATCACATACATCCCTGGGTCCCAGAACGGGAAGGCAGATGCTCTGTCCCGGCGGTATGACGCGGAGGAGAGGTCAGTTGAGTTCACGCCCATACTACCGGAGTCTTGTCTGGTTGCTCCGGTGGTGTGGGAGGTTGATGGTGAGATCGAGCGGGCGTTACGCACCGACCCGAGTCCTCCTCAGTGTCCTGTGGGTCGGACGTACGTTCCGCTCGAGATACGCGATCGCCTCATTTGTTGGGCTCACACGTCTCCCTCCTCTGGTCATCCGGGTATCGGCCGGACAGTGCACTGCCTTAGCACGAAGTACTGGTGGCCAACGTTAGCTAGGGATGTGAGGATTTATGTTTCCTCCTGTTCGGTGTGTGCCCAGTGTAAGGCGCCCAGACATTTGCCCAGGGGTAAGTTACAACCCCTGCCTATTCCACAACGACCCTGGTCCCACCTCTCGGTGGATTTTGTTACCGACC